TTTTTTTTAATTTGGTTTGCTTCCGCATGATTAGCTTTCCCCCCTGCTCTCTGGCTTACTGAGGTACTTCCCACTGTTGGTTTTGGTTATTGTTTTTCATTTCTTCCTCATGTAGTGTTTTGCTCAAGATGCTTTGCAATGCTGGTTTTCTGGCTGCAAATTTTTTTAACTTTTGTTTATCATGAAAGATTTTTATTTTGTTGTCATACTTGAAGCTTAATTTTGCGGAGTACAAAATTCTTGATTGGCATCCATTGTCTTTCAGAGTTTGAAATATGTAGTTCCAGGATCTTCTCGCTTTCAGTGTCTTTTATGAAAAATCCGTTGTTAACCTTATTGGTTTACCCCTGAATGTAATCTGCCTCCTTTATCTTGTAGCTTTTAATATTTTCTCTTTGTTCTATATATTGGATATCTTCATAACAATGAGTCTTGGCGTTGGTCTACTGTGATTTTGTATGCTTGGTATCCTGTATGCATCTACAATTTGTACATCCATTTCCTTTTTTATGTCTGGAAAGTTTTCTATAATTATTTCATTCAGCAGGTTGTTCATTCCCTTGGTTTGAACCTCTATGCCTTCCTCTATCCTGATGACTCTTAAGTTTGGTTTTCTTATGTTATCCCATATCTCTTGGATGTTTTTCTCATGATTTTTTACCAGCCTCTCTGAGTTGGCTAGACTCTTTTCAAGATGATATATTTTGTCTTCATTATCTCACGTTCTGGCTTCTACTTGCTCCACTCTGTTGGTGATACTCTCATTTGAGTTTTTAATTTGGGTTATTGTTTCCTTCATTTCTAAAATTATTGTTTGATTTTTTTATAATCTCTATCTCCTGATAAAGATGCTTATTTGCTTCTTTTATTTGCTTGTGTATTTCATTTTTCAATGAGTTCTTTCATTGTTTGAATTTGCTGTCTCATATCCTCTTTAAGATTCCATTCCATCTGTCTAAGGTATTTGAGTTCTTTATTTGGCCTTTTTTCTGATGCCTCTAGGTCCTCCTGTATATTTAGGCTGTTGTGCATTGTTTGTACTCCTTTTCTTCCTTGCATTTTCATGCTGCTTATGTTACTTCTTGCTCTGTTTGACTGCTAAGTTACTGATTACTCTTATAAATTTATTTGGTTTTGTGTGTCTCTGGGGTCTCTCTTTTGTGGTGGGAGACTATGACTAGAGATGATGAGTTTTGTTGCACTTTAGTGTACATTCATTCGTTTCCTAAACTGTGTACGGATTCTGATGGCATATAGCGGTCTGCGGTTTGGTCTTGGGACTTATATTTAGGTCGAATAATGTGATGGTATTGAGGTTGATATCTCTTGGCAAACTTGGAAGATTGCTCTACTGACAAGGGATATTAACAGGATAATGGTCTCGAGTATTTGGGGGAAGTTAAGGTCTTGGTAGCACTATATAACGTCCCAGAACATTGACCTATACATATTTAGTAAATTACACATAAACAGCGTCGTATTGCTTAGGAGGAAAGGTATTAGAAGGGAAGGGAAGAAGTCACTAAAGAGAATGAGAGTAAACAGATAGAATTCAAGGAATGAGGAATAAGGAAATTGAAAAGAAATGAAAAGACAGAAGAAAAAAGTAGAAAATAAAAAAGAAAAGATTTTTAAAAAATCCAAAAAAGTGAAAATAAAAAATAAAAAATAAAAAATATTTTAAAAAATTAAAAAAAGAAAAAAAAATTAAAAATTAAAGAAAAAAAAATTTAAAAATGCAGTCTTAGAGTTTGTTTAACTTCTCTTCCAGTAGGTGGAGCTGTGCCCACCCGGCCAAGCTTCTCCTCTCAGCGGGATCCAATCTCTGTGTAGCAGCACCTCCTCCCCAACTGGGCCAGTCTCCACTCCTGAATGCTTCTGGCCATTTCTTGTGTCTAGTCACCTCGTTACTGACCCCGTTCACAGGTGACGCTCACCATAATACTGGTTACACGCCAGGTCTGCTGCTCATGGGAGCCCTATCTTCTTGAACAACTTGGCACACTCTCCCTGCTTGCCAATCCCTCAGCCCCTAAGGTTGTGGAGCTTGGGGCTGAGAGCCCTCAGAATATTTTGCTTGCCCTCCGGTAGCCACGCCCCCAGGAGCTGGTGCAAGAGACCTCAGTAGTCTGCACTGGTGGGAGCAGTAGCAGTGGAGGGGGTCCTACGCCACTCCTGAATCCCTTGGTCTGACTAACGCGCTCATGGGAGAGCTGGGAGGGGCCCTTGAGGTTTCCCTGCTGTGTGGAGGGGGGGGCTAGGGGGTTACACACCTGTTGCCGATGGTATCAATGAAGTTATCTCTTCCGCCACTTTCTGGTGACGTCAGTTCTCTGCCATGTTGGTATCCCATGCGAACGGCAGCATTTGGTTCCCTTTGCCGGGTGACCAAAGCAACGGGTGGGTCCTGACTGGCCCTCCGAAGCCCCGTCTCAATCCTGTTGCCACTGCCTATGAAGGCTTGGTTGGTATTTACCTCCACAGCATTTGGCGGGACCGGGACTGAGAAGCAGTTTCCATGGGTTCTTTAGCACTGAGCCAGAGCAGTTTGTCTGCGAGACACAGGCGAATGGGAGCCTGAATTTGGCCCCTATAGGCTCAGTGTGTGTTCTGAGAGGCCCAGACTGTTCGCCCCAGATCCACATTAGCTCAGCAATGCCTAGTGATCTTGAGCAAACAGCGTTTAGAGGATTTAAGACTCCCTATGCCTGCGCAGCTGGAGAGCTCAGAGACTTGATACCTCTGTGCCCGCTGCCATGTTGGATCAATAGTTTACATTTTTAATAGCTATTATGAATGGATGACTTTCTTGATTTCTTTCTCAGCTACTTTATTATTAGTTTTTAGATATGCTACTAAGTTTTGTACATTCATTTTGTATCCTGAAAATTTACTGAATTTGTTTATCGGTTTTAATATATTTTTAGAAAAGTATTTTGATTTTTTTCTATATAAAAATTTCCCCTGCAAACAGGGACAATCTAATTTTCTCCTTCCTAATTTAGATGCCCTTTATTTTTCCTGTCTTAATACTCTGTCTGGATTTTACTACTGTGTGGAATAGAAATAGTGAAAGTGGGTATTCTGTTAAGAAGAGCTTCAAACTGTCCTCATTCAGTAGAATCTTAGCTGTTTCCTGTACTTATACATAGTTTATTGAGAATTTTTATCATGATGGGATGTTGAATTTTATCAAATGCTTTCCCCATATCTATTGATACTGGTGATTGAATCTAGGGGCATTCTACCCACTCCTTTTTTTATGAGAGGGGGTGGTACTTCTTGCTAAATTCATTTAGAGGACAATTATGCTATTTTCATTATTATAATTTTATTTTTAGACTACTTATTTCCAGTATCTAGAAATAAAATTGATTTTTGTTTATTGACCTTCAATTTAGTAGTTTTGCTATGCTCACTTAGTTCTAGTAGACTTTTTTTGATCTATTGTTTACATAGACAAAGATTTGCAAATAAATGTTATAGCTCTACTTATTTTCTTCAACTTTTCTACCTTTTTTTAATTGAAATTTCACTGTGGCTACTCTTGCCTTATTCCTGATTTTAAGTAGAATGGATTTAGGTTTTTATTTTTTGCCATTAAGTATGATCTTAACTCTATGTTTTTGTTAAAGTACTACTTTAATTTAAACATTCTATTGAAATAGAGTATACATATTTTTAAAAAAACAGTATTACTAGCACCCTCTGCTATTTTGAAAATGCTCTTTTATATGAACTACTTTGTCATACATCATTTTACCATATATGTGTGTGGGAGTTTTTTTAGTCTTCATTTTTCTACTAATATATTGTTTCATCTTGCATTAATGTCATTTTATTACCATGCTCATATAATAAATCTTGGTAACATATAGGATGCATCCAGCTGTTCTTCAGAATTGTCTTGTGCATTCCTTGCTTTTAATATTTTCACATAAGTTGGGAGTCTGTCTGGAATTTCCCACAGAAACAATGAAATGTTTTTCCTGCTTAAAGCATCTGTTCATGTACTTCTTATCCATACCTTCTGGTCACTAATTTTGTACATGGAAAGGACTTAAATTTTGGCAGGCCAGAGGACATCATTTTTGCGGTTGACTTGTGTCATCCAAAATGGCATTGTGAAGTTCAAACCTCCAGTACTTCAAAAAATAATGTTATTTTGAGGCAGGGCCTTTTAGATACAATCAAATTATGATTAAGTCATTAGGTTGGGTGCTAATTCAATATGATTACTGCTCTTATAAGAAAGGGAAATTCAAACATGGACACCCACATGCTCAGAAGGAAGAGTATTCAGAGACACCAGTAAAAAGATTTATGACAACAGATCTGGGGTTATGGTAGCAGGTCTGGGTTGTTGCTCAGTGGTAGAGCACATCCTGGCATGTGTGAGGCACTGGGTTTGATACTCAAGCACTACATAAAAATAAACAAAATAAAGTTTGAAAACAAAAATAAAGACTTATAATGGCAGAGTCAATGACTGGAGTGATGTGCGTACAAATCAAGAATCATGAATAAGTAGTTTTGGTCTCTGTCTACAAGTACCTTATTGTTTTTGTAGATCCATCACACATCTAAAACAGGGAAGGAACAGAGTTGAGTTAACAAGCTTTTCAGTCTGTATCTGATCCACGTGTTATATAGTAAATTCCTTTCCCTTTCCTGGACTCCTTATTCAAATATTAGAAAAGAGGTTTGGCTTAGCTCTAAGAAGCCATGTGAATCTAACTTTCAATGACTTTAAAATGAAGTGTCGTAATGCTGATTCAATTATCCAAGATTCCCAACAGTATGTTATGACATGTAATTAAGTATCCTGAAGATTTCCTGGTACTGAGACAACCTCCCATGATCAGAGCAGAATATGAGAATAAGAAATAATGGGAATGCATTACAATACTTATTACACATACAGAGCACATTTTTCATACATCTTGTGATTATATATCACACCAATTCATGTCTTCATACATGAACTTTGGGTAATGATATCCATCACATTCCACCATCATTGCTAAACCCCTGCCCCCTCCCTTCCTCTCCCACCCCTCTGCCCTATCTAGAGTTCATCTATTCCTCCCATGCTCTATATGTGTAATAAGAATTATAATACATTCCACTGTCATTTATTTTTTTAAAAAAATCAGTTAAAAAAAGGAAATAATGGGTTCAGAATAAACCACTCATGGTTTAGCTAGGAACATCAAAGATAGCTGCTTTCATTCCCAACATTTCCAAATATGGTATTATTCAGTGAATTACATCAAATCTGCTTCTTGGCACCTTGATTAAAATATCAGCAATAGTCTTCCTACTCTATAGGCATTATTTTCTAAGGGCTTAATTTTAGGAAAATCTTCTCTAAATGTAAATGGATATTTCATTTATATCCAGAAGATGTCTTGGACCTTTGATGGCAGTAAACAGAAACAAGATAGAGACTAATTTGTTAGAAACATCCATCCATTGAACTAGAGTTGAATGACCATCACCTGGGGCAAAAAATAAGTTATAAGCATATAAGGAATTATACATGAGTGTATGAACCTAAGATATCTATAACACTGAATTTCTATTGGAGTTATTATACCATCAATGTGATTTGAAGATTTCTTAAAGAAACAATGGAATAATTATTTTGATTTTTCTCATAATGTCTAGCCAAGAATAGTTGCTGTCCTCATTTCCCACCCCTCATAGAGACAAGATAGACTTCCTGACTTTGGAAAAAATGAAATTTTTAACTATTTCAAAGTTTTCAAGGGTCACTATCTGAATGGTCCACCAATTACCCCAGGGCATTAAAGGTTGGTAGTTACTGGACATAAGGAGTACCTCAATGATAGAACAGTAGTTTTGCATGTGTAAGACTCTGAATTCAATCCCCAGCAACACACACACACACACACACACACACACACACATGCAAACACACACACACACACACACACACACATGCAAACACACACACACACACACACACACACACACACACCACTTTGTGGTTCCTAGTAGGTAGGCTGTTCCTTGGGAAAGGGGAAAAAAGAAGATTGCCTTACAAATTATATGATACTTTCCCTCAAAGATTAGTTATTTTTTTTCCTTAATTAAACCCTATGGGTTAAGGAAACATTTAGAGGGTGCCAGGAAAAGGCATCATATTAATCAAGGTTCAAAGAGTCACCATATTCAGCTTTTGCTTTCCAAACAAGATTCATTAATCTGGAATAATTTCCCCTGTGCAAAGTACAAAAAAGGAGAAAATGTTTTCTAATCCCTTTGTCAATTCTTTCTTGGGGACAAAGAACTTTCCTGAATTGTTGAGACTGCTCTGCATATCATGACTTAGTGTTGACTCCACCTGCTTGTTGTTGCCCCATCACAAAACAAAGCCCAACCAAAATGCAAAATATTCTTTAATCCCAGCAACCATCAATTATGCTTAATGTACTGTTTAGAATATCATGTTTTGCTAATTTATGGCTAGTATACAATACTCAATTTGGTCTGTCTGATACAGTTAATTTTGTTAACAATAATGACATATTCATTCTTATCTCAGCACAATGATTATTTATCATTTAGTTGAGAAACTGTAGAGGAGGAGAATAGTAGTAGATCATTGATACCTTAAAATCGATAATTGGTTTCAAGCACCAATTCATCCCYTATTCAAAATTTACCAAGCAGTAAATTTGGAAATTACTGTATTTGGTGGAAAATAAGACTATGTACTTATACAGTCATCTATTTTTTGGTGTGTTACAATGTTACAATTCAGGAACATTGTGTTTGGAAATAAGAATGATTTCTTTGACACAAGCAGAAACATAAAAAAAATAGTAATAAGGCACCAAAAGTCATCCTTTCAGAGCCATGGAGAATATGTAATGTCAAGTGAGAGTGAGTCTCATGTTAGAAAAAAAAAAAAAAAAGAACCTACATTATAAGACTCAAATCTTCCCACAACTAAAGTTGAGAGTGTGTTTAGCTTTTAACTTCCTCTATTATCTGAGAATATACTTAGAATTTGACTTATTAGATACTTAGCCATCAAAACTAAATCACTGAAGGCTCAAAATCTTCCAAAGCTTCAAATTTTTAAAAGCTTATACATGGTGAGCTGGTGCTCAGATTTGGATTTTATAAATAAAGTGGCTATTAAAATTCAACTGTCACTGGGTTTATGAARAGATGGAGGTAAAAGACAGAAGAGAACCCAGTAGGATCCTTAACTATAAATCGAGGATAGCTCCATTTAAAAACATAGCAGGGTTGGATATGAAAAAAGCAAGTGAGCATCAGTTTAGCCCCAAATGTATCAGTCACCTGAGTCAGTTATTCAACAAATTTTGAATTTTATTTGTTGATGTTCTATTAGTATCTCTGTGTTTAGAAGTTCTGACCAATAGTTTTCATCTGATCATCACCACCTATTAAAAACTTAAATGTAAGATATGAAATTGTAAAATTTCTAGAAAGAAAACATAAGG